TATTGGTTGTTCACTAGTACTTATAAAGCAAATATTAATGGCTTCTGCATGACCATATTTTAGATCGCTAAACTTAACAACTACCTTACTATTAATAAGCAGCAAATTAGGAGTTTATTGAGGCTAAAGTCGTAGTTAATAGTGGTGAAGTGGTGCCCAAACTTAAGTATGACCAATAATATAATATAAAATTAACATTAATATTAATTTAAATAATATAATACAATATAATATATTATACATTTGAAAACATTCAGTTCATTTCCTTGTATTATTGGAAAATAATACAAAAGATGGTTGTCATAAGATAATCTAACCAGCTAAACAAAATATTTTAAAAATAAAATCATTACCATGTTTGTGGTTCTGTCACTGCTAGAGTACAAAACAACAACATTGTAAACAGTTGATTTCAATAAGCTCATGCCATCCATCTCTGTTAAGCAGAACAAAATATTGTACCATTAAACGGCTGTTCCAGATGCTGGAATAATAACTCTTGAGCAAAATCAGTATTTAGTACTCAGAACGGCGTGTCACACAGGTGCACCGTCGTCATAAAACTGTGCAAATCAATTGTAAACATCAAAAGTTTGAAATACCACCTCTCGGGAGGTGCAAATGTTACATATATGCTTATTTTCTATTGCCAGTTCAATGTAAAATCAATTTGTGTTAAAATCAATAGGCTCAAAACTGACATGCAGTCAGATCCTAATGGATGTGCTGCACCGAATACTAGACTGAAAGCACAGTGGCTGTCATTATATGCCAACACTATGAGCCTGTTTACACCTGGGCAATTAGCTATCCAATCGTGAAAAGACCAGGTGTAAATGCCCTCCGAAACGCTTTCGAGACAGATTTAAATCCGACCGCTCAAACCACTTCAGGAGGTGGTCTGGGACGCATTCCAGATTAAACTGGATAAATGCACACCACATATGTCAATTTTTCTCCTCCCAAAATGTTAAAATAATAAACGTGTGAGAGCATTTTATAGGCTAATATGAGGTTATATATGAGAGTGCTAATGCAACATGCATCGCCACAGATGAGCAACAGAGTATTTCTCTTCAGCAAGCCGATGCACAAACTGCAGCAAGAGAAACTGAAAGTAAGTCGCAGATGCTCAACACACAATCGTCTTCATTAAAGGCAGTGAGACTAAATTATCTTACGAGTGCTGATGCCACTCTCTCTCCTATTGCAGTCTTTGATCTTGAAATTAGCTGATGATGAATAAAATGCAGCGCATATTTGTTGCTTTCATTGACGTGAACTCCAATAAATTTGCATATAGCGCGGGAATTGAAGATCGGATTAATATCCGTTTTGCAGAGACACACGTATGTGGCCAAGTGTAAATGGAACCGTTTTAACAAATCAAATAGCTATCCGATCAGAGAAAATGCATGAAGTGACCAGGTGTAAACAGGCCCTATGTTTGCCATGGAATAGTCAGTCCTACTTCTCAAAATCAGCCTTATCATGGTTTGAATTTCATATCCTGCCTTATCTATATGCTGTTACATGTTGGGTAAAGCATTGAACAATTTGTTTCTAACACCCCGGGGCGTCATCCAATAACTCCAGCTGCTAAATGTATCTGACAGCATCCCCCTGTTATGACACTATACTTGCCTCTCACTCAAATTCAGAACAGGAAGCAGAGCAAAGAACAACAATAACAACAACGCCAGAAAAAAAAGAAAAAGATTAACAGAAAGGAAACAAGCCAGACCGCTTCTGTTTGACATGATGAACATGCACAATATTAACAGGATCCTATCTGAGGGTAAAAAACGCAACAGTCCTCATTTGTTCTTCCATGCAGGCATTCCTTTGTTTTTCCATATCGAGCCGCCGAGAGGCCATTAGATCGGTCCCGCCAAAAAGCTGGCAACTGTGTGTAGCTTTCAGAGCTCAGCCATTTTAAATCTGCCATCCATCTCCATGATAACCAGAGCATGTGACGTAATCAGTCAGTCGGCCATGCACGTGAGTGTAGTGCGATACTGCCCAATGCTCTTGTTGGGGACAACATCAAGGGGACAGTTGGACGTATGTGTGCTGACCCTATGACCCATCCACAGTCTAGTACTACCTTTTAGTTTACCTAAAAACACCATTAACCCTATAAAGCCTACTGTACCATATTCGATATGCAAATTTATGAGGTATCTAAATTATTAACCTGATCAAAACTTACCTGAACTTTAGGTTCAAGGTTTACTTGATTATCTATACATTGTTTTTTTTTGTAGAAAAATCGTGAAAATGTGAGTATCAAAAATAATACGTCAGCCAGACTTTATTGAAAAACATTCACTCTTAAAATAAAGGTTCTTTATTGGCATTCATGGTTCCATGAAGAACCATCCATAGAACCTTTCCATTGCATAACAAGTTCTTTATAGTGGAAAAAGGGTTTTAAAATGTTCTTCACACTTAGAAAAAAAATAGATTTTAAGAACTGTTGACTGAAATGTTCTTTTGGGTCCCTTTTGGAACCTTTAATTTTAAGACTTTTTTTGTACATCTCTCATTCAAGATTGTATTGTATTATATATATTTGCCATCATTCATGTTCAAATATGAGCTCCATATTCTCCTATATCATACTATATGGACCATAAAAGCCTGATGTATCAAATATGACACTCAACAAACACACATATGCAAACTGTTTAAAATATATTCATTATATTTATCAAAAGGTTCAATAAAATGCTTTTAAAAGAATTCTGACTATGTCAGGCTTTACAGGGTTAAAGGACAAAGCTGCTGCCAAGCTCCTCCACAACAGGACAACTTTTCAGACATTTCAAACTAAGTACAGCTTTTACAATCACCCTGCACTTCAGCAATTGAAGTGTGTCATGGTCAGATGAAGTAATGAGGCCATAGACCTCCACTCTTCTCACCACTGAAGCCATCCCATATCTCTCTGCCCTCTGCCGTGTTTTATCTAAGCATACGTAACCAATTCTGCATCCATTCATTATTTGAGCTTAATGAGCAGTGGCCGTGAGACATACTGAGCTCATTGAAGATTCATGGTCACTCGAAGGCCCATCCAAATGGCAGCATGGATGCAAACAGACGTGGTGCCAACACGCTGATGCTTTCACAACTCACTGCTGATCATTTTAGAGACAGTTCAGTGTTGAGCACTTGGTGACCAGTGAACAGAGCACTCAAAGAACAGTCAATTATTTATTAACGTTGAGTGTTTATATGCAGATTGTTTAAAAATGTAAGAGCACAAGCACACATTCACAAAGAAAGAAATGGAATATACATGGGATGTGTTTTAAAATTGCGTGAGCTGTTTACCTAGACAGCTTGGTGCCAGATGCCTAAAAATTCTCTAAAAGCCTATTGTGACTAAAAATGCTTCATGAGCTTATGATGCCCAAAACTGCTGCAACATCCTATCATGCCACAAAATGCTTCACACATCCATGATGTCCAAAAATGATCCCTAGAAATATGCCTAACATATGCTGTATGCACCTATAATGTCCAAAAATTCTGCAATGGCCTATGATGCCTAAACAATTCTGCATGCGTCTTATGATGCCAAAAAAAAAACTGCCATATGCCTATGATGCCAAAAAATGCTGCATGCATCCATGATGCCCAAAAATGATCCCTAGAAATAAGACAAAAGTATGCTGTATGCAGCTATAATGCCCAAAAATGCTGCAACGGCCTATGATGCCTAAACAATTCTGCATGCGTCTTATGATGCCAAAAAAAAAACTGCCATATGCCTATGACGCCAAAAAATGCTGCATGCATCCATGATGCCCAAAAATGATCCCTAAACTGTGAAATATATCTAAAATATGCTTTACGCACATATGATGCCCACAGCAAGCTGCACAAGTAATGCCAAACAATGCTGCAGAAAGAAAAAGGCTGCACACATATATGATGCCCAAAAATGCTACAAGCACATATGATGTCCAAAAATGACGCTCAAGTCCATGATTCCCAAAAATGTTCAACGCACCTATGAATGATAGTCAAAAATGCTGTATGCATCCATGATGCCCAAATATGAGCTATGAAATATTTCTAAAATATAATGTATGAACCTGTGAAGCCCAACAATTATCCCTAGAGCAATGAAATATGCCTAAAATATGCTGTAAGCAGGCATGATGCTCACAGCACGCTGACAAAAACGTCCAGAAATGCTGCAGGCATGATTCCCAAAACTGCTTCAAGCACCTATAATGGCCAAAAATGCTGCATGAGTCCATGGTGCCAAAAAATTCTCTATAATGATGCCCAGAATCGCTGCAGTGCCCTATGGTGCCCAAAATGCTGGAAGCACTTCAGATGGCCAAAAATGCTGGCTAGGAAGGCAGCTGACTAGGTTTTGAGACACAGCCATGTTGTCCCACTCATACATCCGTGGTGCAGACACAACACTGACTCACATCCACGCATCCATGAACTTTTCTGGCACTGCTCTATTCATAAACAAACCTTAACGCCCTAAGCTCGTGTCAATAGCACAAGCTAATAAATGCAACAGACCAAGTCGTAAGTATATAAACCTCAAGCCAATTTAACACTGAATATATAACCAAATGAACAATTATGAGTTTATTAGCCTATTGGCGCAGCTCAAATGTAAATTCCATTTTGTTTAGTCTTACTTTAATTACATTTATATGAATGCACCATATATCAATGCATGATTAAGATTAAACAACATGTTAATCTTCTAACGTAAAACTTATAATCGCACATTTCTAAAAAAACATTTGTCCCTTTATAGCAAATAAAAAAGTGAACGCTGTTTTATTATTGTGTTTTAATATGTGAATCAATTTATCAAGTGTTACGAACTGAAATATAAAATCTGTATGTTGTATTCAGCGAACCTTGAAGGCTTTCATAATGCGCACGTTATGAAAAAAAAAATGAAATGACAAGAGACAAGTAGATAACTATTTCAATACAGATACAATATTACTCACCCAAATATCGTGAGAGAAGTATCCGGTCTTTTATGTATCGCTCAAAGTGACTTGTACTCTCGCGGTTGGAGGAGTAAACTGTACTTCAACCGAGAAACGCCACCTATTTGTTTCTTCTCTATGATGGGGAGGATGAATGGAGCGGTTTCGTTTCCCTTGCCAACATATTTGCATAAGGACCGCCTAATCCGACCTCTGATTGGCCAATATCAGAGATTAGAGGGACTGTCAAAAATGATTCGTTTTTAACTGGATAGTCTCAACTGTCAGTCAAAAAACAGCTCGTTGCCGCATACCTTACAAACTAGCGCTTGTTGCACCTTCCTGCGGGCATCACTGCGTGCCAACAGAGGAAATGTGCATGTTTATCTTTACTCGAACAGGGACTTTAATAATTTGCATTACATAGATTACATAGATAGATTATCTATCTATCTATCTATCTATCTATCTATCTATCTATCCATCCATCCATCCATCTATCCATCTATCTATCTATCTATCTATCTATCTATCTATCTATCATCTGTCTGTCCGTCTGTCTGCCTTATAAGCAGTTGGCATATGAAAATAAAAAAAAGTGAAAAAAAAGTATTTTTTTGTTGGTGACAAATTAAACCACATAAACATTTGATCAAGTTTGTGGTGGAGATGGAATGGAGTCAATTTTACATCTGGAGAGTATTGTTACAATTTTTCTTAAAGTTTTTCTCAGTCGCTTTGGTGCATTTCTCACATCACTATTTACATTTGCACAACAGTTAATGCAGTTCTCAAAACAATTAGTACAAACTGCAAAACCTAGTTGATAACCTGCAAAAGCGTGTCACTTGCTCAAAATGGATAGGTCATTCCTCAAAAGCAAGTATTCATGTCAATGAAAGTGTCAGTGTCATCAAGATGAAAAGTCCTGACACCATTGTTTATGAACAAGATAGTCAAATGGCTTTGTCATGTTTTCATTATGACAGTTTACTCTGTCAATGTTTTCCAATGCAAAAAAGTCAGATCTTGGTGACACTACCTGAAAATGCTCAAGACAGCACTATATACTATTTGCACAGCCATTTGAAAAATACAGTAAAGTTACACATTACTGTATTTAGTGAGGTAACTGAGTACAAGACACTGAATATGTATGTTTCACATTTTTACTGCATATGCTCTTTGCAATTCTAATTTGTTCACAGCATTGTGCAAAAGAAAAAATACACCCTTATTTACAACAAACATAAACTCCCTTTGGGTAGAGCTGTGCACAACATTGCAGTACATATTGGAACTGAACATACAACATACATAGTACTGTAATCATTCATGCACATCCAGACGTTCCTCTCTGTCTGGCCACATAATTTCATCTACATCACAGCGAATATCATCTCTTGCAATGCAGCGAGGAAAGTATCTCCTCGAGTGGCGAATCCACCCTCTGCAGGACTCTGCTGTGATGTCATCACATGCTGCATCCATGGCCGCTAGCAGGGCCATTTGGGTATGTGGATGCCGGTCATATACCTTCCACCTCCAGGAAGAGAAAAACTCCTCTATTGGATTTAGGAATGGTGAGTAGGGAGGGAGATATGCCACCAGCATCCTATCATGTGCTGCAAACCACTGTCTGACGACATCTGAGTGGTGAAAACGCACATTATCCAAAACAACAACATGCTTGCTCAGATGGTCTCCAGTTAGACCCCTCTCATTCTCAGGGATTATGTCCCTGTAAAGAGTGTCTAAAAAAGTCAGCAGATGTTGTGTGTTGTATGGACCAAGACGGGGGATATGGGTGAGGACGCCGTTTTCTGAGATGGCTGCACACATAGTAATATTCCCTCCTCGTTGGCCTGGGACATCAATGGTTGCTCTCTGTCCAATGCGATTCCTTCCACGTCTTCTACCTTTTGCCAGATTGAAACCCGCCTCATCAAGGTATATGAATGTGTGCAGCGGTTCCCTGCCCTCCAGCTCCAGTACATGCTTTATTACAGAAGAGGGAGTGAGAAAAACTATAACAACTTTTCCTGTGTAACATAATGCATTTTGGACAACATATTGTACAGTATGCACTGTGAATACACATACACAGAACTGTCATGTAAGTGTAGTGCATGACACTACACAAAGTAAACAGTTTACAGCACTGAACATTAGAATATGCATAGAACACATACATGTTTTACCTGTACATACTGGTGACGGAGCTCCTTCACTCTGTCGCTGTTCCGTTCAAATGGCACATTGTACAATTGTTTCATGCGCATTTCATTCCTCCTGAGCACTCTGTCAATTGTAGCGACTGAAACAGATTCAATATTCCCAAAGATGTTGTCATCCTCTATAACAGCACTTTGTATCTCTCTCAACCTTATGGCATTGTTTGCAATCACCATTGCACAAATGGCTTCCTCTTGTTGCGGAGTAAAAAGGGGCCCTCTTCCACCTCTGCAAGGTTGTCTTGCAATCCTGTGTGGTGCAGAGTAAAATTACAGTAAATATGGCAAATCTTTACTGTAACACTACTGTACACTACAATACACTAAATGTGTGATGCAGTAAAGCTGTACGTCTAAATGTAAAATGTACAGTGACAAGTTCTTGTCCCACTGCAAGCTTCATGTATGACACAATGACAGTAGTGCAGTGCAGATTGTTTAGTGCTGAATTACTGTCCATTTATACACACCTGTTCTCCCGACGAAATGTTTGAATAATTGAATTTACAGTGGTTCTCCCAACATTTGGCTGCACCCTTCGACCAGCCTCAGCCATTGTGAGGCCGTGATTGACAACATGATCCACAATTGTAGCCCTGATTTCATCAGGGATCCGCCTATGTACTTGGCCTCTTCTTCCTCTTCCCCTGTTTTGTCCCCTTCCCCTTCCTCCCCGCACCCTCACCCCTCTTCCACGAGGCTGACCTTCCATTTCTGTGTCACAGTATTGTAGAAATGGTACACACTATGTCCTGCTTGGTTCATATATGCTTGTAAAGTGGGGGTTTATGGGATTCAGCTCTGACAGTGATTGTAGAGAAGTGGCTTATCATTGGTTGCAACTAATGCTTCACACACCCCTTCTCATCAGTGAAAGTTGAGATTGACCTGAGAGAAATTGTTCAATTTAGGAGACATTTTCAGGAAAAAAAAGATTTAAAAAAATTTGTAAAATTTGCTTGACAGATTTTGACAACTAGTTCAACATTTTTGTATGTAATGACTCAAGCAATGAAATGAGGACTATTAGTTTTATATGGAATGACTATTCAGCATTCACAAGTATAGTTAATTTCTATCTGTCTATCTGTCTATCTATCTATCTATCTATCTATCTCTATCTATCTATCTATCTGTCTATCTATCTATCTATCTATCTATCTATCTATCATCTGTCTGTCCGTCTGTCTGCCTTATAAGCAGTTGGCATATGAAAATAAAAAAAAGTGAAAAAAAAGTATTTTTTTGTTGGTGACAAATTAAACCACATAAACATTTGATCAAGTTTGTGGTGGAGATGGAATGGAGTCAATTTTACATCTGGAGAGTATTGTTACAATTTTTCTTAAGGGGGTTTATGGGATTCAGCTCTGACAGTGATTGTAGAGAAGTGGCTTATCATTGGTTGCAACTAATGCTTCACACACCCCTTCTCATCAGTGAAAGTTGAGATTCACCTGAGAGAAACTGTTCAATTTAGGAGACATTTTCAGGAAAAAAAAGATTTTAAAAAATTTGTAAAATTTGCTTGACAGATTTTGACAACTAGTTCAACATTTTTGTATGTAATGACTCAAGCAATGAAATGAGGACTATTAGTTTTATATGGAATGACTATTCAGCATTCACAAGTATAGTTAATTTTGACTGACATGACATAAGCAAATGATAATGTTATAAAACAGCAGAGAGTTGTATGAAAGCAATTGATGCATGTCCAAAAGCATTTGCAATTTGTTCGAAGGAATGAGAAACTGCTACTATGATGTGCACAAATGACTAAATGTTGTGGAGGTTGAACTAAGTGTTGTGCAAATGTAAATAGTGATGTGAGAAATGCACCAAAGCGACTGAGAAAAACTGTAATCGCTTTGGCTCAATTTTGAATCCATCTTTACATTTTCTAGACTGTAAGTGCAATCACAACTCTATGTCTGCAAAATGTAGTAACTTGCCCAAATCTTTTTTAGATACATTTTTAAAAAGTAGGTAAAAGTTGACTGCAAAAAGTCAAGTAGTAAACAGAAAACGACTTTTTCACATTTGTATGTTTACAGTTCATTTATTTCTGTAGCAATGTGAATGTGAAAATTAAAATTTGCATGTCCAAATCATAAAGTGAACATTTGCCAGTTTAGCAGACATCATGAACATTTCGTGCCATATATTTATGGAATATATATGTATGTCTGACTGATTTTGATAACTGAATGAATAATTGTGCATTTGATGGCTCACAAAGTTGTGAAAAGTAGTAACTCATCAGTTTTGATCAAAAAGCCTGTACATGCATGTACAAATCGTAGACAATTGTCTTGTGCACACATGTGCCAAAACACATGCAATTTGCTTAAATAAGAATAAGAAATTTAAATCTGGTGTGAACAAGAAACTATTATTTCTTGAATATTATTTCAATGAACTATTTAGAGATCCGAATCTTATTCAAGAATTGAGCCAAAGCAATTGAGAAAAACTGTAATCATTTAAAAAACGTTTTGCACCATTTTTGTCGGGGCTGAACGCAGCCCTGGTGACCTATGTTGTTTTACATCCAATACCCAAAGCTCAATTCTAATCTAATTATTGACACCTAAACAATTGCTTGATTGGCAAGTAGTTTTCTTCTGAGACACAACATTCTAATGTTGTACTTAATTTCTTCCCTTGCTTCTTTTTGAATGGTCTCGTCCTGTCCTTCCTCTGCATCACATTGCCTTTGGATCTCCTTGGCCATTTAGCGTCATATCAGGAAGGGTGTAATTGTTTGCTGGACTCACCTTCACGCATATTCTGGGTCACTCTAAAAGAACATCAGCAGACATGTCATGCACGCCCCTCCTGGTGTCCTCCCACTCCAGACTCTCTTCAGTTGAGCACTTTACTGGCAGGTGCCAGTATGAAATTACATTCTGAGAGGAAAACAGCAGGTATCTGGTTTACAGTCTCTTGCAGCTTCCCAGAAATGGGCAGCATTTGGTTAACTGTTGGTTTTCACTGTGGGCAGGGATGGGCAGTATTTCAAATACATGTATTTGAAATACTATTTTGTATTTAAATACCTTTGGAAAAAGTCAAATGTATTTTGTATTTAAATACATTTAATCTTAGTATTTTTGCATTTAGTATTTTTGTATACTTGTTGATCCAGGAAATCAGCAGTCTAATTAAGAGGTTGATTGGCAAAAAGTATTTTTGTATTTTGAAAATACAAAAATACTAAGCTTAAATGTATTTAAATACAAAATACAAAATATTCTGTATTTCAAATGCATGTATTTGAAATACTGCCCATCCCTGACTGTGGGCTGCTGTCACAGTCAATTAAAAGTGCATTGTTTTGCCCTGCCATCCACCCCGCTGCTGCACACATGCGATTGCAGAAGTTGATCAGAATTAGGAGACCAAATATGATACTGTGAACTCCTACTGTGATGTCCGGTCCGGTTCTTTTGTGGATTTTTCTTTGGATGCTTAGAAGTGGATAGTAAATTTTTTTGGTATATTTTCACAGTAGATAGTGAGAGTAACAAAGTTTATATTGAGGGTTGATTTATATTGAAATGCGTGTAATGTGCCCTTTACAGATTGTCACCCACCCTTGTATAAAAAAAACACTTGTAGTGCACTTCAAATCTTAAAAGTATATGAAAAAAACTGTACTTGCAGATAATATATTAATGAAAACACTTAAGTACACTTTTAAAAAGTATGCTTTCTAATAGTGTCAAATAAAAAGTATATTTTAAATCATTACATCATGCTTTAAAGTAACTTCTTTCAATGTGCTAACATGAAAAAATACATACAAAGATGCATGTACGTTTATCATGTCAAAAAAGCACTCTTTAAATGGCATTTTATATAAATTTAAACTGTATATTTTGTATGAAAACATTACATTTAGTTTGCCCTTGAGTATATTTTTTTAAAGAACAAAAAAATTATTTTGTTCTTTTGTCCATTTGGTTAGATTTGTATATGAATTTTTTAACCCAAAAGTTGGGTTAGTCCATATTTGACCCAAAGTTGGTTTGAAACAACCCAGCATTTTTTTAGAGTGTATATTTCTTTTTCACAAGGATAGGCCACACAGAATACAATGAAAAAAAAAAAAAACTACTTTTTGGCTGAACATTATTCAATCATGGATAGTGGTTCCACATGATTGAATTAAGTAATTTGGACATGATAGAATCAAGTTATTTGGATATGATACAACATGTCTAATTTTAGTTGAGTTTACTCAGTTCCTTTTTGTTTAACCCACATGAAGTATTTGAGTAGAGATCAAATGTTTCCAATGTGTGGAACCACTGTCCATGATTGAATCCTGTTCAGTTATTTTTGAGTGTATTTAATAACATATATTATAATACATTATATTATAATACGTTATTATAATACAGTGTATTATAATAACATATGTCAAGCTAAATATAACTTTTTTTAAACATATCATGTTAAGATATTGGCAGTCTATCCTTTGGAGTTTACCAAAGAGAATATTAAACATTAACAAGTCTCTCTATTTTCTCATCTTAATTTAAAAAATGCATAAAATACCACTGGTACAAAGCAATGATGACAGAACAGGAGGGTATTCTTATTGAAATATTATTGAAATACAACATTTACTTCACAAAACATTCTTAAGCATAAAATAAAATCAGTGGGCCATATAGTCAGAAATATATCAATAAAACAATCATTTTATCAAATAAGTCAAGACTGCACAAACAAGAAAATATGTTTGTTTAAAATTTCCATTTTAAAATGGTAAAAAAAAAAACACAAAAACAAAACACCAGAAACAGAGTGGATCATTTTTATGTAAAATGTAAATTTTTCTTCAAGATTCAACAGCAGCTTCTGTATGAGCTTTGAGTAGTTATAGTGTACTCTAAAGTAAAAAAAAAAAAAAACACAGTAGAAGTGCACTGGTTGGATGACTTCACCACCTCATCCTCACAGACAATCAAAACATCCAGTGGGTTCCCTCAATGATGCTGCCTTCTGCACCTGGTCAGGCTCCTTTTTATAAATGCCAATTAAAAAAAAAAAAGTTAGTGTTAGTGTATTTCACCACATATCATAAAAACCCTTTTGTGGAAAGACACCATATTTACATTTTCATAAATGAACAAGATGTGAAGGATTGGAGTAGTGTTTATTTAGTAGGGTGTGTGCCCATTTAAAACCCTGTAGTACTTTAATTTTCAAAATATGTCTTCCAGAGCTGGTTGTCAGCTGGATTTAATTGGGAAAAAGGTTCAGGGGTGTATCAGCTGAAAGTTCTAGAGTTTGAATTGAATCAAATTTTCTTTAATAAAAAAACCTACTAATTATAAATTAATAAAATCAACCTAAGGTTCTTTAGTACATCATGTCATAGCAAACAGATACAAATCTTGTTCAGTTTTGGGGGGAAAATGAAGGTATTTTTAATACTCTTATCATTTTGTTCGTCCATTGAAAGTCTAGGCAATCAATATTTACCTTCAAGAAGTACATAGGACATAGTTAATCCACATGAACAAAGCGGTTTTATCAAGTCTTCTAACAAGACACAGGTTTGATTAAATTTAAGCTTGACTGAGGTTTGGTTAGTATTTTTCAAGCATGCACATTTCAGCTTCCCTTTAAAATATTTGCTGTGCTCTACATGTGTGCATTGTTGAATGTTTATATGAAAATAAAAGCCTAAATTAAACTGAACTTGATGATAAAGATTGCCTAGACTTTCAATGGATAGACAAAAATGATGAAAGAATATCATATTTTTTTATATTAATAAAATTCTCATGAGTTTGGACCAACATGAGTGTGAGTAAATCATGACAATTTTCATTTTAAGAGGACTATCCTAACCATGCATGTTCCCAAGCATATATAATGTAGTCCTTACATGTGTCCTACCTTGTGTGTCTTGAAAGCATCTGCTGACTCTTCCTTTCAGAATGTTAATAGACATGCCAGGATCGTTGTTCGAATGACATCAATGCCATTTTTGTCCTTGAAGACAAAGCACAAAATTAGGATTACGTATCTGTGTTTATACAGCTGCAGCAGCAAGCAGTCTGTAATTGTTCTGAGGACATGCCGACAAGTTAAGGACATGAGAACAGGCTTAAATTAAATAAGCATTCCCGTTTGTATGCATTTCAACCGGGGTTCGCATATTAGCTGCTTAACCTCAATGTTCACGTTTGCTTATTTCTTAGGTCGATGTTTTCCGTAGCTGCTCTCTTTGTCATCCAAATGGCTTTAATACACAATAAGAGTATAAAAGTTATATCAATGACAGTTATCAAATGACTTTAATTAATATATTTTGCTCAGGTGGATGCTGGGGTCTTCTCTCATCAACACATAGTGCGCATTCTAACTAGTGCTAAGCCGGGCGGCATGGTAGCCCAGGCACACATAGTAATACATGCGGTTCACATGGCTCTTTGCAGCAGCATCAGTACATATGTATTGGCATCAGTATATACAGTATGTACATATGTATTATAGATCTGCTTGTTTGGGGGGTATTTGTTCTATTCTGACCTGTTTTCATTCTTTCTGTATGTGTGAATACAAAACCTACAAAACCACCACTGGCTCTGCACCCCTTTACCTAAATTCATTACTTCACAGTTATGTGCCCTCTAGAACAGGGGTGGGCAAACTTGGCCCTTCCAGGCCACTTTCCTTCAGAGTTTAGCTCCAACCCTAATCAAACACACCTGAACCAGCTAATCATTGTCTTCAAGACTACTAGAAGGCCACAGGCAGGTGAGTTTTATCAGGGTTGGATCAAATCTCTGCAGGAAAGTGGCCTGGAAGGGCCAAGTTTGCCCATCACTGCTCTAGAAGCTTGCGTTCTGCAAGTGAACGACGCATTATTGTGCCATCTAAAAAAAAAAAAAAACTAACACTAGCTTTCTATTTTTTCTATTCTATCTACTTGTTTTTCTTTTTGTGTGTGTGCGTGTGTGTATATATATATATATATATAATAAATAAAAACCTTGCTACGTGTGCTGCGTTAGGCTAACCGAGACTTGTCATTTGCACTTACATATTGTTGCTCTTTTGTTAGTTTTGATTGCTTCTATTGTCCTCATTTGTAAGTTGCTTTGGATAAAAGCGTCTGCTAAATGACTAAATGTTAATGTGAATATATGCATGTCCACTGATGCAGCAGTTTATATTCTTACACTCAGTGACATGCATTTATTTGGCTGTATTGTCCATTTATGTGTCTCCTGCTTTGTTGGGGGGTTGTCTCATATATGTTATATGTGCAGCAGCAATATTTCTTACATGCTCACAGCAGCATGTCATGGAGGTACTTGCAGTAGCAAGTCTCTGTACTTGCTCTGCCACAGCAGCAGCAGCATAGCAGATCTATTCCGCCAAGACCAAATACATTGACATTGCCATGTATATTACCATGCTAAACTCACAGAGAGTTATCATGGCAGAATTACTTTTTGCCATTTGTGCTGTAATACATTTCTGGTTTCATTACATTTGCTGATTTAGCAATTCATCCAAAAACGAAAACTGAAAAAATATACTTGTTTAGTATTATATAATGTGACAATTTATGTCTCATACAAGACTAAAGCCCATCAATTTATTAAATGAGAAAGAATTCTACTTACTTCCTTTTAGGCTCATAGTATTACAGCCATCCTGTTGTCATTTGCCACCACTCGCTGCCTTTGCTCTGAAAAGATTGATTTCAAAAGCATGACGATAATTTGCTAGTATGGTTTCAAATTAGAAAACGTGAGGAGCAAATAACAGGTCTAAAATAACTAACGTTAGCAAAACGCTCCTCGAGCCACTTTGTTCGACAGATTTAATAAACATCATTAGCATCACATCGATATGCCAGATGAAACTGACAAAGCGGATCATAAATAACAATTAACAAAAAGTTAAAAATCATTGTTTTATAGTGAATGAGAGGGTTTGCTTTACCTGTTGCTTTAGTTTCTGGGGCTCGAGTGACGGTTAGAGATGTGGAAGATGGACTGTCAGCATCTCTCTGGTTTAAAAACAAAAATCAGGGGACTTGTTTGTCTGTGTCCGACTGAGAAAAGCACAAAAAAATAAATTTCTTAATTTTCCAGTACCAAACTGTCGTGTAAAACACTGCATATTTAACACTCGCCGTTGATAACTTTGATGTAATGGCGCGTTGACCCCTCATTGCTAGCTAACGTTACACGCATTAGCATTACTGAGCTGGTTAATCTTCAAATAATAAGATAACACAATGAATCATAAAACGTTCAAAAGTGCTTTAAATAGGAAAAATGTTAAATAAGTTTGATATGCTTAACTGTCCTTTTTTGTGACTCTTGACTGAGCTGAGGGATGGGACTGACTGAAAGAAAATGGGCGCAGGTTTGCCTTTTTTTTTGGGAACACACCGGGAAAATATTTTGCCATGAGTAAAAGTTATTACTTTAAAAAAGGCTTAATGTAGGCTCAATATGAAATAGATTAATGTGTAACTATTGTTTATGTATTCATTTAATTAGCATTTAGTTATTTAATTAGTTAAGATATAAGTAACCTATAGCCCTCTATACGTAATTACTTGGAAAACATTGTTTAAAAGAATCAGAAAACCATGGAGACAATCTGGACTCAAGCACTAACGTCCCACCAAACTACTTAATAAATGCAATTAGTAATGAGCGGACAGAAATAAAGCATGAAATGAGATTGTGGAAGGATGCCAAGAAGAACTGTCATGGTATTGAGGTAAGCATCTGTTTATATGCTCCTCCAACATTAACTTTAATATAATATAAGATTAAGGCAATAATGGCCAATAAATATAGATTTGAAAAGCAAGCGTCACCATTGGGATTCTCATAATGCTCTTGAGGGTCTCAAACTTGACTTTTAGCCTCCACGACCTGGTCAACTGCAAGCTCCATTCTTGCATGAAACAGATTAATTTTATTTTGCTCATAAAATTCACAGCCTACTTTTTTCTCAGTCACTATCTGTTCCAGTTGAAAACATGTCACATTATGTATCTAAACTGCCTTGCCTATGTCAATGCACTTTAGGGAACTGAAAATGGTTCTTTTATGACATCGCTGTGAAACCCTCTTTTAGGAAACCCTTTTTTTGTAGTTCTGATGAGTCCGTCCCAGTGTCCCGAGGTGCTGTTATTCATGAAAATGCTGTGAACACTGTAATATAAAAAACTGATAATGCATCATTCCCAAACCTAGCACATAGCAACCTCAGCTTTGTTTTTCCACACAGAGCCCCATTTAATCTTCATCCATTATTTGGCATGATGGAAAAAAACAGTTTAACAGTTAAACGACCTTTCCGCTTGTCTCAAAGGGCGCCCTCCCCACCCTCTCTCCCGCCATCTCTCTGCCAACAGCCCACCATTGTAGGGAAAACAAATTAATTAGAGTCTGTAGAGCTGGAATCTTTTTAGCCAGCTAATCAACAGTGGTAATAATTAAGCAAAAGAAGAGACAGAGCGTGCATTTAGAGAGGGGTGACGTGGCTGGATGAGTGGGAAAGGTATCATGGAGCTACAGAGCATCCAGTCAGGCTAGTGTGGTGCTATCGCAGAATTACCTGACCTCAATTCCCCTTCCCCACACATCCTGACCTTTAAAGCAGAGAGATATTTTATTTCCTTTTTTATATCAGAGGCCTTTTAATCAAGTTAGGGAAAATGTCTGCCTCTGACCCTCTTTGCTGAGGTCACGATTTGCCATTTTGTTTATTCTGTGACATAAAGGTTAGCTCACAGGATGAGTCTGCATGATGATGGTTAAAGAGGCGGCACACTGGATCCTTTACTAAAACCAGGAAAGAAATCTATTGAAAAGATTCTTGTGATAAACACAGTAGTGTGAAGAAGAATAAGTGAGTGATGATGTGCAGAACGCTGCCATAATAATGTGTAGTTGCTATGCTGTTGTTCTAAGTGGTTTTCTTAAGTTTACGTAGTCATTTGCTCCCTAGGTGGCTCAGTTTCCTCCTTCCATGCAAGTCTATAAGCTTCCCTTATATTAGTACCCCTAATATCAAGGCCTACTGTCTAATTTAACTCATCCTTTGTGGCGGCAGAGAAGCCATGACACAAAATGGGCTGATGGTACAATACAGCTATGTGCATTGTCCTATTTGCCAAGTTCAATGGTCTATAAAAAAGACTGGTACTGTGTTAAAAATTTGGCTTTTGTTAGGACATGTATGTTATATTTCAAGGCCTTAGGACTGCTTTAATGCATAGCCTACTCTGTGGCAGCCAAGAAACCACACTGTGAAATGACATGATGGCTCAAAGGTGGCTCAGTGTACATTGCCCTATATGCTAAGTTTAATGGTTTCTCATACACACATGAACTATTTTTACATTTAGATTACCTTTGCTGTCATCTAATGATCATTGATGGATCTTTAAAAACACGAATATTAAATAATTTCAAATAAATAAATACATGCATACATACATACATACATACATACATAAATTACATACACAGACAGACAGACAGACAGACAGACATAGATAGATAGATAGATAGATAGATAGATAGATAGATAGATAGATAGATAGATTTAATTTAGAATTTTAATCAGCCATAATATGAAAATATTTATCAGCTTATCAATATTGCCCAGAATTTTAAAAATAGTGCATAATAGTCAGGCTTACCTTTAGCAATCACCACTAATTATGATTAAAATGTCCATGAGTAAATATCTAAAAAGCAATATTATATGAAAGATTGGACTTCCTTTATAATCTGTGCAAATAGATATAAATAGCAAAAATAGAAAATGAGATGGCTCAGGATAAACAATTGAAGATCAGTGTATGTAGCTCCTTTGTATCTTCTTTAAGTCCCTACAAAATTTGTATCTAGAAATAATACACTGGATAGAATCACCAAATGTGTTCTTGAGTCGTGGACCAGAATACCACATGTCAAGTTTTATTTGCTGATACTACATGCAAACACATCCTTCTCGGCTCTGGCTAGAGAGATTTATGAAGTTCACTGAGGGAGGTGGATGGCTGCAACCTGTAAGCTGTCTGTCTGATTATAATATGTGTTACCAGGGGCATATATGCCAAAACCCATGACCTGATTCACACTGACGAACAAGCTCTGATAGTCCATGCTGACATTCAGACTTAACACGGAGTTAACAAGTCTTTTAGTCATCTCAAGCAGCTCTCAAGGTATCTAAAAGACCTGATGTCTGAGTCACTGGGGTTAATGGCCTGAGGTCTTGCTGAGGCCCTTCCATTGTTAACAAGAAAAATCTCAAATACTCACAAAGTATCAGTCTACTTCTGCCGACTAAAAACAACAGAGAAACCTGAGGTATAAGGTGTGTAGTCCAAACAGTTTGCTCTTCTGTTAACATCTGTGTCAGTGTGATCCAAGGACACAAAGGCAGTTCTTCTCAGCTTGTCACGTAGACAGACAGTCTCTGGCAGTGACATTGATGTTTTATGTTTTGGTGGCCGTTGGCTCATCCGTTGCCTGTCCAGTGCACATCTGCCATCAGCAATATACACCCTGACACAAACCATATCTCAGATGTTTGACTGAAGAACAGCCTCTGAACACACACATCCATTAAGGGTGATTTTAGCTCAATCACATTGCTTTTTGTTAGTCGGTCTGGATAAGAGAATCTGCTAAAAGCTTTAAATGTAAATGTTTACCAGTATTGCTGAACTGAGAGTTTATTCAAGAACAGAAATGTCAGTCAGACACTGCACATCTAATAATGTGCAATGTGAAAGAAATGGGAGATGTAGGAATATATGAAAAGCATTTTAGTAGTAGGAATCAGCTCAAATGTAATATTTCATTATTATACAAATGATCAGATACCTTCTGTGTTTATTCTGTATTCAGAGTTTATGTAAGGTTAAGTTTTTATTTATGCCATCAGTTCTTTAAATAGGTAAGTGTTTACCTATTTATCCAGTGCTTTTAACAGAAAAAAAACAGTGATTTTCTCTCTTCTGACTTGGAATGGACTAAAAGAATACAGTAATTAAATTAATATTAATTTAATATTTATATTAAGTAACTTACTTTTTAAACACAATACTGTTACATTGTCCAAATAGATCATAAACGAAGCAGAATCAACTGTCTTTCAAGCAACACACAGTAACTGTGTTTAGTTCTTTAATGAATCAGTGTTTTTAAACAAATCAGTTGAGTGAATCATTCAATGACTCACTCACAAACACTTTCATTTGTTTCATTCCTGGATAAATATGTATTTTTCAACGAATAGGGTGAAATGAACGATCCAATGATTCATTCATAAAGACAGTCATTTGTCGCCACTTATAGTGGAGTGTGTAACAAACGAGTAAAAATAAAAAAAATCACTGCCGGATATGTGAGATATGGTTCCATATCTGAGATATGGTTCAGTCTGTCTGAAACGTGCAGAAACAGACAAGCGAAAAATTACCAGTGCTGTTGAACTACATACTCTTTAATGTTTATGCAACTATAAAATATTTCATGTTTTCATTTTTTCTTAAACGTTGTCACTTTTTTCATTAATGTTTTTTTTTTAAATTCCAGTTTAAAAAAATATTTAAAGTTATTTTTGTGCATATTCATTATCAGTGAGTGAGCTGAGTAAAAATTTGTCAATCTAAAAAGATTATATTCTAAATGTATTTATTTATTCATTCATTTTAAATCATCTGTACTTTATGAACTTAACAATTTGGGCATTTAGCTTTACTGCAGGTTGTGGGAATTAATTTAAGCACACCGGCTGAGTTTAGTTGAATGACGGTACATTAACCTGCTTTTTCATCTCTCATCCTTTGTCAGTCTTCCTTCCGCTTTACCTCGACCCCTCCTTTCCTCAGCACCTCTTCATACACCTGTCACACACTCACACATTCTGCCTCCCTGGATGCGGCAGCCCTGACCTAGTTTCTATAGCAACCGCACAGGTCCTCCAGGGCAAAGAAAAGGCCTGTGACAACCACCTTGCAGCTTC